CAAATGATGGATGGTCTACCCGGGGGGTATCTTATCCGAGGGGTTATTGCGGAAATAACTTAGAGAGAAGTCAGAGCAAATAGGAGGAGAGAGAGTCGATTTTATTAAATGAACTCAGCGTGTGGAGTTGGGATGTAGATCCTGATTTACAAGGAGAAATGGGCTGTTATTTATAGCAGCAATAAATGCGATGAGAGGACACGTGTCAGTAATCCAACGGCCGAAGGGTCACATCAGCCGGCTGGCACCGGCAGTGGCACGTCCACCGCATTGAATGCGGTTGGCGGATGTGACGTGGTATTAAATGCGGTGGTTGGCTGTCCCTAAAAGGAATCTTCGATGATTGAACATGTTTGGCCGAAGGCTCCTTGTGCAGCCGAGGGCTCCATGTAACCGAGGGTTCCATGTGGCAAGGACCCTTGTGTGGCCGAAGGCCTCATGTGGCCGAAGGCTGGGTTTAGCCGAAGGCTTCTCTGATGCCGAGGGCATGACAATGCCGAAGGCTCACGTTTCCGCCCGTTTTCGCCCAGCAGCTTCTTATGCCAAAAAGGCTATCCTGTGAGTTCTGGAGCCTTCGGCCAAGGAGGCCGAAGGCATCCCAGTGTGTATTCCGAGCTACTTCGAGGCTTGGGCCGTTGTATTTGGGCCTGAGTTGTTTCCTGGGCTTAATGGACTTGTGTAGGAGAAGTAGGAGTGTATGGGCCGGGGGTTCCTGGGCCATATACTCCATCATTGAGATATTTTGATTTTTTCAATAATCATTTTCAATTCAAATTAATTATATAGTGTGCATCTACACATGACATTATACCAAATGGGTTTGTATGTACTTTTTACTTGATACGGAGTATTACACTGAACAATTTATGGCATTTGATTTTAATTCATGTTTATCAACTACCGTCTACCACATGTTAGGTGTCGGCCTGGCCCAATTTTAGTTCCAATGATGTATATCCTATAATCTAGACCGGCACCTTACATACTGGTTTCTGGCAGCCAGCCCATTTTTAAAGTATTGTTGCACAAAAATTATTGAAGGAACACAATATGAATAAGTTACTAAGCCATACTCCTTGTATTAAGAGGCAGTTTTACAACACTATTTTTTGACTTATCAGGCTTATCCGTCAACTTTTTCACAAAATATGTAACTTTTGCTTTCGCGCACTGAATTGTGTAATAAACGGAAAAAACAAGGTTGGTACTTTTATTACTGTATTGACTGAAATTACTGTAGATGACCATTTTAGCTATTTTTACATATAATTTTTTTTTATTTTATTAATAAAATACGTAGTGTATTTTAAAAATTGTTTTTTCTCTAATCAGCGGAATCAGCCAATGCAACCACTTCACCCAGAACATATAAATTTCAGCAGAATCAACCGATTTCCGTGCCACCAAAAAGGAGAGTACAACATTATATAGAAAGGCTTCAAGCATTTACATTCGAGGGTTGATACATTTGCATTAGAAATTAAAACAATAAAATAAGAGATTTCAAATGTTAAATATATGTATTGTACAAAGATCTAATAAAATTCAAACATTTGAAGCTTCTCTAGAGTTCGTACTCTTACTATGTTTTTACTTGGATTGTAATTTGATGATCAGGTCTGGTCTGGTCTGATCTGGTTTGGTCTGGTTTCTTTGTATTTTTTATAACTATCCAAGTCTGGTCTGGTCTGGTCTGGTCTGGTCTGGTCTGGTCTGTTCTGATCTGCTCTGGTCTGATCTGATCTCGTGTGGGACATATTATAGTCCAAGTAAAAACATACTTACCGGTTTTAGTAGTGCTTTTGGAAAACAATTGCAATGATGTTACGTAGTACTCCCTCAGTCCCATTTTATAAGATACCTTTCCTTCACTTGGCCAACACAAATCACTCTTAATCTCTTACTTTATATATCAAAATTATGAAATCTGAATAATTTTTTGCAGACTTTGTAGCGGTTTTAACGTAATTATCGAATATGTAAAATTTATTTTCTAAAGTTAATTTGAGCATTGGTAGGGATCAATTTGCTTTATTATTGGTCAAACATCGTAAACCGTAAAGTGTTTTATAATTTGGGATGGAGGGTGTACTAGTTAGCACATCTTTTGCTCAATTGAGAACACATTGGTTCGAATGGAATTGTATCTAACTGAACTAAGGCGAATTGAAGTTGAAGTGTCGAACCATATGCAATTCGGTATCGGGTCGGTAGTATTTCTTCCAAAACGTTTTAAATCGAACTAAATCAAAATCGTGAAAAATCATATAGAACCGAACGAATAAACAATAATAATAGCTTAATACGTAGTGTATTTTAAAAAAAAAACTAATTCAAATCAATCAAAATAGAATTTTTGGAAACCAAACCAACCAAAATACAGTATGGTTATCATTTAGAAACCATTCTTTTAATCTGTTTCAAATTGAATAAAAAATGATAAAAATGAACCCAAATCAATATGTTAACTCCTAGAATTGGGGCAACGAAGATTCATATTGCGTGCGCAAGCCACAAGGCAAACCTTTTTTTTACAAATTTATACCGTTAAAGTCAACATATTTGAACTGAGGTAAGGTTCAAACCTATGACCTTCTCTTTGTTAGTTTCACAGTGATGCCATCAGACCAAAAGGTACTTGCCACAAGGCAAACCTTATACTCCATATTTAGTCAAGTTTTGCAGCACAACCTCCTTTGGATGTAACTTTTAATTTGTAAACTTATCATCAGGCTTGAGACCGGTTCATCCTAAGAAAAAACATGTAGAACTATTTAAAATTCCAAACCTTTATTATTGGTTCAATTCTTATAAATTATTTGTAGAACTAATATGAAACTGAACCAAACCTTTACTATTCGGTTCTAGTCATTTTGCAGTTCTTAATTTTTTAAAAATATCTTACTATAATCACTTCCTGCAAAGGTGCAATGAGTGTGGTTACCATACTCCTTACAGCTATCAGCCATGTGATTTTTTAAAAGCACAATAAGATTCTGGATAAACATAACCACTTACTTGAATGAGCATCTGCTTGTATATTTGTATACACACAAGGAGTTAGCCACTTGTTTTACCCTGAACGGCTGAACCCAAGTACTTGTGAGCGAGTTCGCAAAAAATGTGTACAAGATATTGCATTTCCCTTTAAAGACAACAACAAGATTGGAAAACTCTACAAAAGCATTATTACTTATAGATCGATAAACGTGGTATTAATATTGAGTCAAATTATGTAGAAACATAAAAACGTACGCTACCTATAATGTCCATTTTCCATCATCGTTCCTCTATAGCTAAACACATCGGCCAAATAATTTTAATGTGACCATTGACGTGTCATTATTCATGCATTCCCTTACCACGTACTTGTGACAAATTTGCAAGCCTAAATTTAAAACTTGATATGTACATCCTTGATGAAAATCATTCTATCATAGTTGTAGATGATCATGTAGTCCTCTCGAGTCTCGATCATACCTCTCAATTTAAGTATTGTGACAACATTATTAGTAGCATTACAACAATCAAAGAGTACCAATTTATTTATCCATTCACCATCAATGTAACGTACGTTGATACTCATCAACTATCAATTTATCGTCCCATGTTGATGCGATACAATAAAGAGTAACCGGCAATGTGTAATTAGACAAAAGATCTATTAAAATTTTATTTTCAAATCGGTATTGTATAATACATCACGCTAAACTATTTTATGGAATAATCTCAAAATTGATGATTAAGAGATCCTTGATCACAATATCTCAATGCTGTATTTTCAATAAATATACAGTGTATGGTAAAAAACAACAACTGAATCAGCTATGTTTTTTATGTCATTCGTCATAATAAATAAAACTTAATTAGAAGTCGAATTCACAAACCTTGATAATTGTACTCGTCGTCCTCCCCGCCCACTAGCTAGAGCCAAGATGTATCAAATTCAAGTGTTTTTGAACGGTGGTATACCTTGGCCGCATATGACTTGTTGGCAATACGGGTTAACCAATTTTAAAATAAGATTCCATTTAAGATGAGTTCTAATAATTGAAATTTGTTGGTTTGGTCTGGTTTGATGTGGTCTGGTCTGATCTGGTTTGGTCTGGTCAGGTCTAGTAAACGCCTGGTATCAAATTCAAGTATTTTTGAACGGTGATATACCTTCCTTGGCCGCATATGACTTGTTGGCAATACGGGTAACCAATTTTAAAATAAGATTCCATTTAAGATGAGTTCTAATAATGATGTCTTTTCGATTTGAAATTTGTTGGTTTGGTCTGGTTTGATGTGGTCTGGTCTGGTCTGATCTGGTTTAGTCTGGTCGGGTCTTGTAAACGTCTTGTCTCTATGTATTTTATAACTACGGAAGTCTGGTCTGATCTGATCTGATCTGGTCTGGCCTAGTATGGTTTGATCTGGTCAGGTCTGGGACTGAAAACAGTTTAAAAGAAAACATCCTATGAACCCTTCCTGTCATCTTATAACCTACAAATATAAAATAAAACTTTTACATATCCACAGGTTTATCTGTCATTTCCATACCTTTTTACATATTTAATTTACACAATTGTACGGTATAAAATATTATTTTTACGTCATATTTTATATGTCTTATTTTTCTTTTTAGATTGTTTCAAAATAAATATCATATTCCATCTTTTAGAAGGTAATATGAGATTCACATCATTTCTCGTTATTGTATTTAAATCTTAATCACAATGTTTACTTTTTAACCATTTTATTAATAATAATAGTATCACTCCAAAACAAAAGATGTAAAATGAGACGGTAATCTGACAATTGAACTGGTCAATAGATTTGGATATTTCGGAATGGATCACGTATTCACGTTTATTCTTTTGGAGTTTTTGGTTTATACGAAGGACGAACAACTCTGGGCTGGACCACAAAGTTTTGTATCCGAGTTGGGCCATTTCCGAATTTTATGACACCTCCTGTACCAGTGTCCCATATCAGTCACAGACAAATAGCGGGAGCCATTTAAGAACTTTCCCGCCAAATCTCCTCCCCAACCCGGACTTTCCTTCTTTCTTCAAGGACACTGAACCAGAGCATCTTAACTCACAGCATAGCTTGGCTTCACCGGCGCAGGCGGTCACCGGAGCGTATCAAACAACCATGGAAATTGTCCGATCTGAATCTAAACCTTCAGTTTCCGGCGGCGTCGTTTCGACTCTCCCTATCTACCGTTCTGCTCCGCCTCTCGAGGTCAGACTCGAAGACTTCGAGCAGTTTGCCGTGGATCGCCTTAAAGGTTAAGAAATTTTTCTCACTCCATTGAAATTAATTGAACTGAAGAGAAAGTAAAAACTCCTTTCAAAATTTTCCATTAGTTAAACCTATTTTTTGAGCCACTGGATTCGGTTTCCGAATATATCTGTTCCTTAAGAATTGCTTATGCTTTATGTGCTTCAGATTGGTTGATTCTGAAATCCATGAAGGTCTTTCTGAAATGGCTGTATTGTATGAAAAAGTTTTAGGGAGTATTAAAATGTACGGAGTATTATATTAATAAAAGAAAACAAACTATATGAAAAAATGGCTAAAATAGTTCTTTACATCAACTTGGGTCAATCCGGTTAGAAAAGCAGCTTCAACCTTATATACTTTGATTATTATACAACTCACTGCGAGAAATCAAAACTTACGCTTTGGTGAAAAAGTTTATTCATAAGGCTCATACCCTGAAAAACAGACTCTGAAGTTTTGTGACGTCAGTTTCTATTTCTGTACATAGATATTCATATTTTATAATGTTTTTTGCTTTTACTCTCATTTGCCTAGTTGCATCAGTTCCATTGCCACATCAATAGTCGCACTGGCTAATTTTTTTAATTGTGATTGGAATGCAGTATTGAGATCAATTTCTGATGGATTGTCCCGGGGAAAGAAACCAGAAGAAATGTCAAAATTGGTATGGTGGAGTCTCATTATTATAACTTAGGTTTTGTGATTCTTGTGTTGTATCCCTTGTCAACTCAGTTACAAATTACAGGTATTAGGTCTATGGAAGGACAATATGAGGCATTCACATGCATCCGAAGATATTGAAAAAGACATAATTTCACACTTTGTTTTACGGCTTGTTTATTGCAGAACGTAATAGCTCTTTTCCCCTTTCCGTGTTCAGTTTTCATAGTTTGGATATAGGTTTTTTACTTGTTACATCATCTTCTAGGGAGGAACTAAGGAGATGGTTCCTTTCAGCAGAGACCACCTTGTTTCGTTACCGTTATCAGAATGAAACTACAGCTGTCCAGGTATGATTTATTTATTAACTGTTATTTGGTTTCTTTTCCTTGTAAGTCAGTGGAGACTAGTAACTACATGAGGTTTTTAATGCAGAGGACTATAGCGGCAGATCTTGACCTTTCTTACAAAGCTTTGAGCAATGCTGAATTTGAGGTAGCTTTTGTTAACTTTCATAATTTATTGGTGGTTCTTTGATGAGAAAGATTCACTCAATTTATCATGCATGAAAAACTACAACATCATGTTCTTACTTTGATATTTGTCTTAACACAGGGCATACAAGACAAATTGAGCCAAGTTGCGCGTTCCATCGGCCAACCTTTTTCAAAAGGTACACAATGTGAAGAACTTCTATTTGCTGACACTCTTTATGGATACAATGGTACATATTTAGAATTACTATACTTGATTTGTTTCTTATTTTAATTAACTCTTTTGCAGCTGAAGCAATATTTTACAAGGTATGATTTTTTTCTCCCATCCAACAAGGAAAGACACATCTGGCAAGAATTTTTCAAAACTATCTACTTATTCTTCAGGAGTGCTAGGGCATTATTAGTGATACTATATGAACTCTTATGAGGTTGAGGATCTTAATTGGTTTGCTGAGTTTTTTATCCGTAAATAGTAGGTGGATATGCACTGTTGTGCACACACCTACCATTGTTCTGCCATATTTACAAGCATCATTGGTCCTTTTTGTTCCTGACCAAATTTTATTTTATCTTGGCACATACACATGGTAAATTAAGGTGCCATTTGAAGAGGTTCCAGAACTAGTGGCTGGTCGAAGGGTATATATACATAAAGGGAATGCATACATTGCTGCACATCAGGTTAATAGTGTCTCAGTATTTTCTTATAAAATAGCCATTGTAGTCTTACCACTTAATCACATGTGGCTTATTCGTGCAGTTGGTTTCTTTTGTTATCAATCAATTCCGTAGCAATCTATCAAAAGCGCTCGCTCTCACAAACAGGTTCTTTACTCCACCAAACCCTCATAGTGTAGTCACTTTATTCAAAAACTAGGACTGCACTTAAATTTACAATTAATTTTTTCTTAACCTCCAATTTTATGGAATCACCAATTTAATGGTGCCTTTGGGATTTTGGCATGCCTATCCATGATTATGTTTCTTTGTTTCTTAACAAGGATAAAACCATACTCCATTCCATCACTTTCTTATAAGTTGCACACTTCTTTCAGGAAATGGACATCAATGATTAGAGAACAAGAGAAGGATAGATTAACTCCTGTTAGTATCAAGTTTGATGGAATCTTTGTCCAAAATTTGTTTGACTTTCAAATTCTTCATCCTTGTCCCTTATCCCTGTTTTTCTTTGGGTTGCTTAGATAGTTGAAGCCCTATCAACTAGTTATTTGGGTCCAGATTATAACCAGGTATTTTCAAAAAATCTAACCCACTGTTTTTTCCAATGTCCATATCTTTGAGGTGTTGATGTAAACCTTGAAGTGTATTAAATAGTTTAACATCTGGTGCAGCCACAGGAAAACACAGAAATTTCATTGAAGGATATTGATCAAGCTGCGAAGACTTCATTTCCTTTGTGCATGCGTCATCTTTTCGAGAAGGTGGGAATTGTTTCATGGAATTGTGGCTGTATTGCATCAGTTATCTTTATGCTAGGTACCAGTAACTAAAAAGTATAGACTTTGTGGTTTTATTCTGTTCCCCAATGTACTGCAGCTACGAGAGGATCATCATCTGAAGCATGGAGGAAGGTTGCAGTTAGGCCTGTTCCTAAAGGTTGGATTATTCAGTATTTTCTTTTAAATGCAATTTCATGTCAAAAGACGGATGTTTTGTTTCTGAACTGTTGCTTGTTTCTTAAGGTGAAACCGTGAAATCTTTTATTAGCCATATTTGGTGCTTCCATGATTATTTAGCCAAAAATTCTGTCGGTGTTTGAACGCCAAAAGTAGCAATACTAACCAGAAAATGTATCGAAGATGGAAGATATAATATTAATTATTAAGAATGTTCAAAACAACACAGAACGCAAATAACACTAAGGTGTACACATTTCTCTTTTGGGAGACAGGAATTGTTCTAACACTTCTAGGAGACCTACGCATGAAGAGGTCTTCTCTATGACCTCTCTAGGAAGTTCTAGCAAACCTGTACCTCAACTCGTTTCAACACTGTGAAAAGTGGATTTTGAGAGTTGATAAGAAGACAGGAAATCCTTTTATAAAGTAAAGATTTGGACCAATCAAGCACAAGAAGATATATTAGAAATATTATTTCTATCATCCTAATCCTTTGTTATCAGATACTTCTGTAGGCATTTTCTTTTTATGAAGAAACATGCATGCATGGCATATACTTTTTCTCTTTATTTTCTGATTGTGCATTACTTTGTTCACAGGGTGTTGGGATAAAGCTGGATGATGCCCTTGCATTTTGGAAGTCCGAGTTCTCCAAAAAAGTAAGTATTTTGGGTCAAATGTTATTTCTTTCCTTCTATAATAGGTTGTTAATCTTGAGATACTACTTGTTGAGACTCACGATCTCACACTCAAGGAACTCCAAAGTTGGTGGACTAGAATGTCCAGAGCGGTAGTAAGCCACTAGGGGTGATACAGTAGCCGCACTTGCTCTATTGGTGCATGAGATGTTATAAACCGCTCCAACTGTCCCCTCTTTTGTCGGTCATGTGCGTTCACAGATTTGGAGTTCTCCACAATGCGATAGAGAGCATGTGTAGAATTCAGATACTCAAGTAAGGCTGAAAAGAGATCCACAAATATGCAAAACATAAGATTGATCAAGAAGAGAAGATTAGCTACTCTTTTTCTTTAAGCAATGCCTTTCGACCAAGTGTAAGTGATTGGAGGGAATTTGAATGTGTAATGTAATGAACTAATGATTCAAAAGTGATAGATAATAAGAAATGCGATCACTAGATCCAAAGTCAATGACCCAAACTGAGCTGGACTCACTGCCTGGACCATGATGGAAGTGCTCTTTAGGAAGTATTGAATAGCTCTTTTTTTAGCTTCTGGACTTTATACTTATTTGAGCAACATAAACCACCTGTAGTAAGTCAAGGAGTTGCTAACATTGCTCCTGTGTGTGCCGCCTATATGTTTTGCATAGTACCAAAACGAGGTAGCCTATGCTCTCCTCCTTGGCTATCTCTTCTTCCTCAAATAGCTCCAAGACCTGTTTCTCTTTCTCTCAAGATCAAGGAGCAATGATATTAATCATTTAATGTAATTAACTGATTACTGACAAACATCTAAGACTTCAGGACAGCTTTGTAGAGTTACTATAGCATGAACAAACATCTCTTGACGTGAACTGTTTCAAGAGAAATCAGCTGGTGGGCAGTTTAGAAAATAAAAGACCCTATAAAAATCTTAATGTTAGGCAGTTGGATGGTTTAAATGAAGGCTCTTGATACCATGCTGACATTATGAATTACAATTGTCTATCTTCCAATTCTAAGATTGTAATGACATGCTTATGTAGGTAGAAAAAGTAGCGTAGGTACCCTAAAATTGTGGTAAAATAATAAAATGTAATCCTGAGGTTGTAAATAAGATGCTTGTAACTTTGTGATCAATATTTTTATTTGCTGTGGTGTGACTGCTCGACAGCAGTAAGTGTTGGTAATTCATCAGCTTTCTTTTTGTAGGTTGGTGCTGAAAGGTTTGATAAAGAATATGCATATAGCGTACGTCACTATTACGGGAAAGAAGGAAAGCGAATGGTAAGTCACTATTTTATTCTCTATCAGGTTGATGGTTAGCTCTAATGGAAACTTCAATTCTTCATTTCTTCCCCTTTAATGGAAGCTAAAAGTTAGAAAGTGACATATTTTGTGTTTTATTTTATTTTTCTCAAGCAACGTTATGCCTGACTACAGGATTGCACACCTTATTCTTGCCAAAAGTTAATATCATTAACACCTGGTATTGGAGATCATCACGGATGTCCCTATCGCCATTTCAGGTTTTAACCTTGTGAATTTGCATTGAGTGTAATTTCTTCAAAACCAGAAAGCATTTCTCCTTGAGTCCTTTATATATACAGGCTATTTTGACTTTGTGATTTTTTTTAGGAAAGGGTTTTTACTTTTTTATAAGCATTGTCTTTGAAGTTTCTTAACAAAGAGCTTTTGCTGTTCTGGAATAGTTAAGCTGCAATGGGAAGTGTTCTAAACAAGCACCTACATACTAAAAACTGAACTATTGCAATCCTAATATTACAATAGTTTGGCTATCATTATTGATCCATTGAATTATAGCTAACTGCAACATATGGCACATCATGCCCTTCCGTTTAATCTAGTCTGTAGTTTGGGTTACGCACTATGAACCAACCATGATGTCTCTATTGGATGGCTGTGGTACAGTAAAAGCCTGAAGCAAATGTGATAGGGAAATATTAAATTTATTTAGTGGGTTGTTTAAATTTGATCAGTTTGCCTTGGACATTCGATGGACTTTCTGGTCTTTTTAAATCCATGCATAGTCTAATAGTTTGTGCTTTATTGGTACAACGTCTTGAGGCAACTAGCGCAGTCTCTCCTATTGTGTCCACGAGGACTAGGGTTCAGATCCATCTCCATGCAGTGCAAGGGAAGGTGGCTTAGAGCCCCAGATTGTGTTCTTTCCTAGACCCCCCTCCCCCCCCCCATCTTTTAATGCAGTGCAAGGGAAGGTAGGAGTTTTGACATTGTGCGCCCTTTTTTATGAGTTTACCTCCCATGGATTACTTTACTGGATTGAAGAATCACTATTTTATTGTACCAGTGATTGGTTTAGCCCTTCTGGTTTCCCTTTCCATATTGCAAAGCTAAAAAAGCATAGCAAGTTCAGCAAAAGCATGCTCAATTCCTATGCAGTTACCATGAAACCAACATGATATGACAAATTTACAGTTGCTGGTTTCCCTTTCCCTTTCCATCCTGGGAAATATTAAGTGCCATGTATTTTCAAGGGGCTCCTTATAATCTTAAAATATAAAATGTTGTAAATATTTGAGCATTCCTTGATATTCCATTCAAAGTTTTACTGCAATTTCCCACAAATATTATTTAATTATGTAGAACAAGATTGGAATAAATGTACTCAAAATCGTTGACGATATTTTATTTCTGTTTATATTTTATTTTTACTTTAATAAATAAATTATCATTTGGTTTGACTTACCTCCAACTTGCTAATTTTTTGTGAACAGTGAAGAGAATTTACGAGCTGCCCTAAACAGGATGGGAGTTGGACACCTTGCTTTGGAGGATGTGATGGGCAAAGTGCGGAATAGACATTATCAGGTCAGTCTACACTACTACAGTACAGTATCCCAAGTTGTTTGCTTAAATGCTTTGGATGACTTCCAACTCTTCTGTGTGGGGCTAATATTGTGGCCATCATTATACTTCTAGGTGGCATGTACATTGACCTTTGAGGCTATTCATGGCTCACCATGTGATGCTGGGATTAGTCATCCAAACCAATACTACACAGACAGCAGAAAAATCTTAGAGTCTAAGGTAATTTTTCTTCCTTTTTGATTGCATTAGAGTTTAATCATTTGTCTTGGTATACTCTGCACGTTTGATTAAGTGAATCGTCCAGTCCTAATTTGTTTGCAAACTATACACATTTTGCTTTAACATGTATTTTCTCATTTTCACTTTGCTAGCAGAAGAACTCCACCAATCTCTGAAGAGGTGTTTTACTACGCACTGTTTTGTTAATGTTCCTTCAAAAGAATCAAAACCCGAGTCTTGCATGACCATGTGTACTGAGCAAGCTAATAGCATTCATTTCCATTCTTGTTTGATGGGAGACCCAGGGAAGTCATATCCAAGTTATTATAGGTACACTTGAACCTGCTCTACATATCCACATTGCCAGGTGTGTCTGTAACACCAATTTTGTATTATGTGAGATATATATTGACATCCAAGACTGAGAGAACAACCCTACAGATAGGGGTGCTATAATCTCTCTTGTATATATTCATCCCCTCTCCCTCTTGAGATATCTCAATGCTAATTGAAGGCTTATGATATGTTGATTCCTAACTTAACACCATGGTGAGTTTGGGCATTTCAATATATTAAGCTGTTGATATGATGCTAAGTTGTGTAAACATGTTGGTTTAATCTACTATCATGTCTGGGGGGATTCATTGATGCCATGCTCTTGTAGTTCGTTGATAGAATGACAGAAAAGACCAAGTCCACTGGTCATAATTTAGTTCTGTAGCATGTGGGGTCATCTTTCTTTGTTATGTTAGTCAACTTCATGCATCTTTTATGGTGGTGCACTCCAGTTGTTGAAGACTTCAGCTACGACGGTGAACCACATAGATTTGTGAGGTAGGGCAGACGGCCAGACGCAGTAGTCCTGATATTAAAGGAGTGTCCAGTTCTATAACCAAAAACTAAATCGTGGGGTGGTTCCAGAACCAGCACCACTAATCGGCTATTCTCCAGTCCAGTTCTGATTGTGTTTTAAACCAGAAGGAATTGAATTGGGGACCAAATCTGGAACCAGATGGTCCTCAACCAGACTATTACCCCATATATAAGGGATATTCAGGATCAGCTCGTTACATAAAATAATTAATAAAATATCTTAAAATATTTCATTATTACTACTACAATGTGGTAGTAGCTAGACTAGCTACTGCAATTTAGTATCCAGAAGGCTATATTTTTCTTCAGTTTTGGTAAAGTAACAAGGCAGACTTTTGCATTTACTTGAACTCTACCTGTCCTTATTTCTTTTCCAAACTCCCTTGTCGATGCAGACCTGCAGCTTCTAAATGCATATATTGTTTGAATTCGACTTCATAGGTTGTAGGGGTGTTTCCATAATCTAAAAATCCCTTTCCAAAGGGCTGCATAACTCCCTTTTCTTAGTATTTGCACCCCAAACCCAAGAGTCAGGTGTTTTATACCTTCATCTTGTAGGTAAAGTTAAATTGTGGGATTGCACTAACTGGATCTCTTGTAACATGGTTTTACACTTTTGTTCATTATGGAGGCCTTTCAAATTAAATTCTTACACTAGCTGGTAAAGAGGTAGGTATCACACACTATGGAATGTTGAAATGCCTTCCAGCTAGGGATGGACGGGGACGGGACTAGGCCAGGGTTGGGATAGGACTGGGGCCATGGGGGCTTTGGGCTTAAGGATTTCAGACCCGGTACCGGCTCGGGTTTGTACCAATACCGTGTCGGGCCGGGATTGGGCATTCAATTAAAAAAATAGTGCAATTAGGCCCGGGTGGGGTCCAAAAACTTGAGCCCAAAGCCCGCTCCTATAGCCGCCAGGTTGGGCTGGACGTGACTGGGCCTATACAGTAATGGGTTGGGTCTGGGTTGGGTTGATCCGTCCCGATCCACCCCTACTTCCAGCGAGAGTCGAAGAGGCGTGGTGTCTCGGGGATTCGTGGTTGTTTGGGAGAATTGTGGAGGGGGGAACCACTTGATCTGAAGGCCAAAGCCCACTTGCTCAAAAATCTCTTTTCCTTTTCCTTTCAAATCATGATACTTGTGTATTGGGAAAACTATCAAATAAGCTCCTTTAGTATAACAAAAAAGTCAATTAAGCTCTCGTACTATTGAAACACCCAATTAACCCCTCAAAGTATAAAAAAACACCCAATTTGAACTTTTAGCCGGTTAATTACCAATTCAGCTGGTTGCTGTCGACATGTACCCACATAACTTTAACTTTTAGGTTTTTTGCTCAACCTGCCTGGTCAATGAACAAATTACGTATAGGAACTATTCATCTACCATTGCTTTCTTTTCTTCTAGAAATTAAACATAGAACAAACTAATTTGGGAATCAAAACTTTCAATGCATAATTAACCAGAGAGTCACTTGAGAAACGTTGGAATCTCCATGGCCGAAACCAAGATTTTCACAGGCATCCCCTTTTCACTCCAATTGGAACAACCATGAATTAATCGCCAATCTCATAGAAATAATACGTAGAATTAATTTGTGACTCCAATTTAGTTAAATTAATCACCAATCGGCCGCCGGCGATTAGGTGCAAAGAACGTCGGTGAAGTTGGTGGCCTGGTCTGATGAGGGACGAGGGTAAGACTAAAGGCATGGCTGGCCTAGGAAGTTGCTCCTACTATACAAGAAAAAAGAAAATGGAAATGAAATAAAGAAGAAGAAAGTTAAATACCTATAGAAAAATAAAAGTAAAAAAAAAACAATAAAAACCAAGTGGAAAGTCCATGTGGGCAGTAACCCGGGGAACTTGTAGTCTACCAGCTAAAAGTTAAAGTTGAGTGTTTTTTATAGTTCGAGGGCTTTATTGGGTGTTTCGATAGTACGGGGCTTAATTGACTATTTGACTATACTACAGGAGTTTATTGGACAGTTTTCCCTTGTGTATTTGATTTGATCCCATTGTAAAATTATGTGTGCGTGAGATGAATTTGCATCCCGAAACATATAGCTTGAATATATTATAGTGGAGAATGTCCTGTCCATATGTGATATCAAATCACACGTGTCCTTCGTGCTTTTCACTTCACCCTTGTTACCAATTTCGATCCATCATCTCGTCACGTTAACCTATTTTGTGTTCCCCAAACCATGTAGACTTATCTACTTGTAATATACTTATTATATATGTCTTACGTTTTAAATGCAATAGAAACAAAGAAATGAAAAAGCTACGCATGAAGCCACCAACTAGCCAAACATAGCAGTCTTCGTAGCTTGTTTACTTTTTGAACATTTAGAATACAAAATTCCATTACATAGACAAAAAAGTCTTACCATAGACAATCAAGATAGCTACTATCAATTGCGTACATAGCTGTCTGTGCACTCAACTCTTAAAAACTTACCCAAAATAGATAGAAGATAGACATGCCCACAAACCAATACGTACACTTGAATGACAAACTAATGTTTGCTCACACACTAGTTATTATGAGCATTTACCATTGTTTCAGATAACCTTTTCATTCAAATACGAGTTGCATGTCAACAAATGCCACATATTTGTCTAGTGACTTGACTAAACTTAATGTGTATAAATGGTGTCCACCGGTCATTTTCTGTCAAAATATTGAGCGATTGTACTCGCCCATGGAATGAAATACTAGATTTGGATTTCTACGTAATTTAGAAAAATGGAGAGCAATCGTGTAAGAAAAAATGAGCTTGGATGATATACTATTGTTCCATTGCTGTTAAGAATATCCCTTTTGTCTAACTAATTAGTTATATTTTCTCAAAAGCTATTGTTCGCCCTACGACGTATACCGCAATATGCACCACCAATGTCCCGCTAGGTTTGGATTACCTTTATCATTTCATGGCTTTTTAGGCGGTTATTTATCGGCGATCTCAAATTCTCTTACTTTGTGTTGTTATTTTACATATGTTAGTAATAGGGTCCTATTAGAGAGAAGTATGAAGTCAAAGTGAGCTTTACTCAAATATGAGATTGGCGATTCGATCTGATCATACGTGTGAGAAATAAAAGTTGAGTTCTTTATGTGCAATCATTTTCCGATCAAAATAAATGAAGTTGCACCAAAGACATATAACAAAGAAATGTTTTGATGCACGATGTGGGTATGAGATGTTGAAGAATGCTCTCCTTCCAAAGTACGGAGTATTATATTTTTTTTAGGTGAAGGATTAGTGATTAGTGCCCGCTTTCGATTCAGTTAATAATAATGTTGTTAAATTTAAGAAATAAAATTTTGCTTAAAAAACCCACGTCCTAATGGCCTAAACAACATTATTTTGACTAGATATATTCTTCAAAACAACAATATCAACATCACTATTGTGAATAAGAAACGAAATGTCTCGTTACTATGATGGCTCCATAATGGAACGCTAAATGGTACGGAGTAATAGAGTATTTCATGATTTTTTTTGTTAGACTTCATAATAGCACACAAATTTTGCGACGCCACTCAAAACGTTTACATACCAAAACAAAATCAATGTTATACTCGTCCCATGTCCCACAAAATTTAGTCAAATTAACATTTGTTGTCAATGATAATGAATATTGAGTAATGGTTTTAGTTATTGTATTTGTGAAAAAATATAATCCGTAAGTTTTTGAATAAAGAACATTTTCATATAATTTTTCATACTTTAAATAATTCCGTATATGAAATTTATTGTTCCATGGCTATCATTGACCAAAAAAGTGAATCAGACCAAGTTCGACAGAAGGACTGCGTTTTTTCTTCAAAACTTGACCAAAATTGATGTGGCTTAAATCGACCAAGTTGATTCTGGTTTTTTTATAGCTCAATTTTTTGCTTGGAACCGCCCAAAACTGGAATCACGACCAGATGCATCTGATAGGTAAATTGGACCCAAAAAGATTGACAATTTCCCCTATTTTAGTTAATATTCCAATTTGACTACTAGAACAGACTGGTGAGGAAAATGACTCGTTTACATGCGTGCCCTTCATTACATTAAATCTATCACGCTTCACTATTTAGTATTATTACTCATCATGGTAAAGGGCCAACTGCTTTCTTATGTGCATTTCGACTGAAACTAGTTTAAGTGAGCAGTGAGCTCTAGTTCTACTTTCTTCAAAATACGCAACATGTGTTATATTATTTGGGGATAAGTATAAATAAGGTAATTGCGGTGGCCGGTGAACATTTTCTAATAGGAGTTTGAGGTTTATTTCTCACAAAGTGGTGTGTGCGTTATCAATCATTATAAGTCATCCGTCTACAACTCTACATTCCGTAAAAAAGAAAATGACATGTCACTTTTTTATACATCCATGTTGCGCATGTTCACCCCACTTGGTAAAAAAAATGAATCTAGAGATCCCTGTTTCAAAATGCGCACAATCACAAGCTTATTATTTGTATTTGTTAGATGAAAATATCAACCTCTTTAAATGGAAATATGGAATGGTACTCAAACTTGTAAGTTGTAACATAGCTTGCTTGATCTCATCATACCACAACGTAGTCAACATCATTATCTCTATCGTTTATAAGTATTTAAAGTGTTCAATTGTAATATTCGAGTTGATCCACAAGATACACAATATCTCAAGAAATTTGCCATTTTAATTTTTAAATTGGCTAAA